GTAGTAGTAGTAGTAGCACTAGTAGTTGCACTAGTGGTAGTTGCATTAGTAGTATAGTTGCAGCAGCAGTGGCAGCAGTAGCGTTACGCCAGAATACTTTAAGAGGCGTCCACTGAGTGCATATGTAGGTTCCAGGGCTTGCAGCAAGAGTTCCCGTGTGTAGTGCTTCAACATCGTAGCGTTGCTACAAGCCCCGTAGAACTGCTTTGAACCCGAACCGGAAACCCTCAACACTTGCGTAAGCCCAGAGAGCCCAACACGCCCTCATGAAGCAAAAGCCGTGAATCATATTACATTAGGGATCCCTCTGTAGTTGAAGGGATCATCCTAGTTTACCGGGCGACCGGCCTCTCTGGCAGGCTCTGAGAGCTCTAAGACCCTGATAAAGCTCGGAAACCCTGAAGACACCAAGCCTCATAAGACCTTTGATAAGACCCAGAAAAGCACATTCATCACTTCCTCAGAACTGGAAAACCTTCTGAGCTTGATGGCGACAAGCTGGCAGGCTGAACTTGCCGGCTTGGACACGCTGCCACCCGCTGTCTCACGACTGCGGCAGAAAAAGTGGCGCTTTAGGGCCAGAAGGTGTGAAAGGGCTATATAGTACAGTGCTCACGGGCTTAGAGTGGATATATACATATTTTCTTATTGGTATTCGTATTTATACTCATGTTTACGTTACTTTATATCTATGTCTAGGAATATATTTATTTTCCTTTACAGGTAATCATGTATATATATATATANNTATATATATATACAGATGTATATACACACTGACATTTATGTACATGTGTAGTATGTATGTATATATATATATATATATACACAGACATTTCAGTATTTGCCGGTGTGTTGCGTACTGTAGATGTTGTGTCATCTAGATCGTTTTGCTTTGGGTCGGTTTTTCGCGTTGAGTCACAGGCGGGTTCATGTTGGCAAGACGCTGGTCCCAATAGGAGCCTTAGAGTTTAGGGTATAGGGGTTAGGGCTTCAGCCCACCCCTTTCCAAACAAATCAAAAAATCTGCAACCCATGCTAGTCCATAGCTGAGGCCTCCTTCTGTTTGTGGATCTCGCGGACTACACCGTTGTGACGGACTGCCAAACCGCACAGCAGAATAGATGGGTATTGCTTACGAACCACCTGATATCGATGTTGCCCGTTGCCGATGATGGCGGTGATGATGCTGGCCGGCAAGGAAATCATCACATCCAGCGCCATCATCATTAACATGTCAGTTGTCAGTATCAACAACAGCGTTGGTATAACCGTCATCAAGTGCATCCCCATAGAAAGCATCACCGCGCTCAGTATTACTGCACTGCTGTCACCACCTATCTTCTCTATCAATCAGGTTCACCACCATGAAGCCCCCTTAAAGGATCTCAAACACAGGCCCTCCCCAAACAGTTATCCTAGCATCGTATAGTACGTTTTGTTTTGCAAGTGTTCCATTTATTCAGATCCTCGCAGTGGTCGGGGATCGCCCTATCGTCGTTCCCGTCATTTCTTCCCTACGCCGATAAGATCCTCTGAGCCCTTATCTCTAAATCTCCAAAACCCAGCAGACGCTCAGGCAGCAAGACCTGACATGTGCGACCCTAGTATAGCACCCTAAATAGTCGGACCCTTAATATAAAGACCCCAAAATAAGGTACCCTAATTTTTGAGAAACTCCCATGTAAGCCCCAAACACACTAAACCCTAAACCCTAAACCCTAAACCCTAAACCCTAAACCCTAAACCCTAAACCCTAAACCCTAAACCCCAAGCACAGAAGACCGAACACCGCAAAGACACCCCAACTCCAGACCCCTCAAACACTAACGGCGTCAGCTCTATGGTTGAACCCATGGGCCCCTAACAGGGGCCCTTAGGGGATTCCAGGGTCCCTTAAGGGTATATAGTAGCTATACTAGGGTCCCAGGGTTAAGGGCCCA